CTATGCCATTGCACAGATTTTTCCCTCATTTGTGTCCACTCACATGAGTGGAGGGCAAGCACATGCACAGTGTGGAGGGCACTTGCACTTGCCCGCACAAAGCTCCATTTGTGTGAATGAAGCTTCGTTCACGAGCACACTCTGCTTGTGCGAGTGGAGCTTCACAAGCACCCTCGGCCCACACACAAAGCTCCATTTGTGTGAGTAGAGGGTGGACTCACGTATGCCGGCCACTCAAACACACATACACACCTTGCACTGGGCCAGACCACCAAGCTGGAAAGTTTGGGGATCGCTGCTTTACCTCTTCAAAACGTAGCCGTAGACATTGTATATTACAGCTTCAGTAATGTAAATTAACAGCCCCCCCCCTCGTTAGAGAGATGGGCTGTTAAAAAATTTGATGTATAAAGAAATAAATAAGGTGGGGCAGGGGTGGCTGTGTACCTTGCTTTTCCATGACGTGGCACTGCTTCACTCCATCATAGAGAGTTGTGGTGACTGTGGCTCATAAAGGAAAGTAGCACAGTCCCACACAGCCCCAATTTCTCCATCCTATTTCACAGCATCTAGAGAGGACTTTGTTCTGAAAGGCAGCATGTCAACATTGGAACAAATAAACAAATATTATGACTTATTTCTGGAGAATTGTGTGTAAGTTTCTTTCAAATCATAAATGTAAAGCAATTCAAACAATAGTATGTGCTTTAAATATTTATGCCTATCAATGTCACCTAGAGAAGCAATATTTTCTTATTTCTTAAAGGTAAAGGTTCCCCTCGCACATATGTGCTAGCCATTCCCAACTCTAGGGGATGATGCTCATCTCCGTTTCAAAGCTGAAGAGCCAGCACTGTCCGAAGACGTCTCCGTGGTCAAGTGGCCGGCATGACTAAATGGCAAAGGCGCATGGAACGCTGTTACCTTCCCACCAAAGTGGCCCTTATTTTTCTACTTGCGTTTTTATGTGCATTCTTATTTCTTAGGTTAGCTTAAATCTAACCAAACCAGAAAGATAAGAGTCAAGTTGTTGTTCTTTTAAAAAATAATCTATGCACAGCCTCTCATTTCCACATGTTTTGGAAAATGGGGATTGAATGGGAATCTAGTCTATGTTGATCTCAAAAGTTTGTGGAAAGTCCCGATCGGGACATGTCTCTGTGGGTACTCATAAATCCATTTTTTACATTCCCCTTTGGAAACATTTACTTTGTTGAGCTTTTATTTCATAGTGTTCACTGAGCATTCGTAAAGTGGTTTTATGACGGGCCACTTGCCAGGTGATGCCCTTAAATAGATGACCTTAAAATTCTTAACAGGAACTATTTAATGAGCTAATCTTTTGGTAGAGGCAAACCAGGCAAGTGACTCTCTTTGTCAAGTGAAGAGAAAGAGCACAGACTTTGCAATCCCTAAAGGCATTTTCTCAGGGAGAATACGTTCAGATTCATATTTTGGGGGCAGGCAAAATACCCAATAATTATTATTATTTTTAAAATTAAGATGCAATTATAAAATCTGCAAAAGTCAGGACTGATTACAACATGGGAGTCTGTGCTGGTGTGGTTACACAGCAGGGCAGACACCATGTAGACATAGAAGCAGGTAAGAACCTGTCAGCCTCGTGCAGTAGTCCAAACAAGAAACACACACAGACATTCCAGCTTTAACTTTATTGTAAAGTGACAATAAGAGAATGTTGCAAGTCTGAAAGTACATCCTTTGGCCCCCGCCCTTGCTTTTACAATCCAAAAAACTTGAGAGCGTCCCTTCTGAAACATTTGCCACACCCCTGTTCCTTCTGTGGATTCAACCGACACTTGTCTGCCTGTTGCCTACTCTGTGGCTGTTCTCCCTGTCTCCCAAGAGGAATGATTGACTGATGCAGCAAAAGTATTGGCCCTAGAGATAAAAGAATGGTGCTCCATTTCTTTCCAGGCAAAATATGACATGTTGGTTACTTCTTTTAACACCTCTAACATACTTGGAGTCATGCTACTGGGAAGAATAGCTTCCTCCATCATATCCTCACTCATCGCATCCTCCTTGTCGAGAGGCCTAATGGAAGCTTAGGAACAAGACATTTCTGAAGCCACCTCAAAGGTCTGGAAGAGGTGAGGGAATGGAGTTCATTATTAACATGTTGAAAACCATGAGGAATATTTTTAAAACGAGGGTGTGTTGTTGTTGTTGTTACTCATCGCACAATCAGCCAGATATTCAGTCTGGGATTGGCATTTTTGCCTACCTATCGAGTCCTTACCAAGGACCTGGAATAGGCAAATCTGGATGTTTGATGGTGTTACAGATATTATTGCAGGATGGAAGCAGTTCCAAGTAAAGCCACCTTCTGCAATTGAATTGTTGTTGTTGTTGTTGTTGTGGTTGTGGTTGTGGTTGTTGCCTTACTCTAAGGAGAAACATAGATCCTGACTGGAATTATTCCAATTATATTTTAAATAACCTTTTGAACTGGAACATTTACATTCCCATTTTCTAGGTCAGCAAGTGGATCAACTAGCTGGTCAATATCCTAATGCCACCCTTACCCAGTTCCTTGTAACTGAGTTTAAATCTGAATCCTACAAGCACACACTGGCTCTTTTCCCCTGATCATCAAACTTCCATGGCATTTCACTTCTGCCATCTTGCCTTTGGGATCTGCCTCTGTAGATGTTGGTGGTCTATTCAGCCACAAAGGCAATGTGGAACTGTACAGTATGTTCCCATTCATGGAAGTTGATGGGGCTTGCATCACAAGGTTGCTCCTGCTTTCTTACTTTTTTGAACCCCATTACTGCCCCCATGGCCATAATGGCTTCTCCCCCTTTGAGATCCCTAAAAGCAACCCAGCTCTTTTCTCCAAACAGCTATTGGTGAACACAAACTCCCCTTCCTCCTGTTGGAAGAAATATCCAGGTCCAGGTCCAATCCAGGAGAAAGGCACTGGAGTCAAAATGGAGGCTTGAGGCTGATTGGAATGATGGTCCATTTACTGATGAAGCAGAAGCATATGTGTGGTTCTGGGCAGCTGACCACATGGAGTTGAGAGTGAGGGGTATTTATACCTTCTCTTGGGCTTTGCCCTTGAACTTCCTGTTCCTGTGTAAGAACATATATTCTATTGGTTGTTGTAGGGTCATAGCTGGCTCTGTAGATTGTCTGAGCTAAGCTTGGTTGAAGTTTGGAGGGTGATGCAATGACCTTAGGAGATTGTGCAATGTGGTGAACTCTGCTGCTAGATGGTAATGGGTTAATCCTACCTTTGTTCAGACCTTGCTGCAGGGAGTAATGGATTACCAAATCTGCATTTCTAAAGCTGCTCCAGCTCAGTATCTGCTGGGTGGGGTGGGGTGTAAAGGAAGCTGGGGCTCTGAGATGCTGTCTCCCTTAAGATTTTTATTTCTCTTTTAGGGGAAATATTTTATCTTGCCTTTTAAAAATATTTCTAAAAAAATATTTCATCTTCTAGGAGGGGGAGCAGCTTCCCACACTCCATTAGAAAGAACTGAAACACCATCCAGAGAACGAACTGATGCTGGGACAAAAGAAAGCCTCCACTTATAAATCATATTTGGCCCACAGATTATAGCTTCTCCATGCCTGACTTACCAAATAGTGGTAAAGTAGTTGGAACAATATACCACAAAAAGCCTAAGGTAATTTCCCAATAATCAGTTAGGGCTTTTCTCTTTTAAAATAGAATAGAATAACAGAGTTGGAAGGGACCTTGGAGGTCTTCTAGTCCAACCCCCTGCCTAGGCAGGAAACCCTACTCCACTTCAGACAAATGGTTCTCCAACATCTTCTTAAAAACTTCCAGTGTTGGAGCATTCACAATTTCTGGAGGCAAGTTGTTCCACTGATTAATTGTTCTAACTGTCAGGAAATTTCTCTTTAATTCTAAGTTGCTTCTCTCCTCGATTAGTTTCCACTCATTGTTTCTTGTTCTATCCTCAGGTGCTTTGGAGAATAGTTTGACTCCCTCTTCATTGGGGCAACCCCTGAGATATTGGAACATTGCTATCACGCCTCCCCTAATCCTTCTTTTTATTAAACTAGACATACCCAGTTCCCGCAACTGTTCTTTATATGTTTTAATCTCCAGTCCCCTAATCATCTTTGTTGCTCTTCTCTGCACTCTTTCTTGAGTCTCCACAACTTCTGTACATTGTGGCGACCAAAAGTGAATGCAGTATTCCAAATGTAGCCTTATCAAGGCATTATAAAGTGGTATTAACACTTCATGTGATCTTGATTCTGTTTATGCAGCCTAGAACTGTGTTGGCTGTTTTGGCAGCTGCTGCACACTTTTCTGACAGTATAATTTCATCTCGGCAAATATTTGG